CACCCACGTGGGTGCTATAGAACACACTCCCATGGGTGCCATAGGGCACACACCCACGTGGTCGCTCCGCGAGTTTCCCCCCCACCCACGTGACCTCCCCCCCCACCCACGTGACCTCCCCCCCCGCAGGTGCCCGCGGACGAGGTCTGCGGCTGCCCCCTGGTCCGCGACGTCTTCGAGCTCACGGGCGAGTTCTGCCGCGCGCCCAAGCGCCGCTGCCACCGCCATTACTGCTGGGAGAAGCTGCGGCGCGCCGAGGTCGACCTGGAGCGCGTGCGCGTGGTCAGCCAATGGGAGGGCACGGAGGGAGGGGCGGGGCGGCGGGGGAGCCAATGGGAGGGAGGGAGGGGCGGGGCGGTGGGGGAGCCAATGGGAGGGAGGGAGGGGCGGGGCGGTGGGGGAGCCAATGGGAGGGACGGGGGGGCGGGGCGGAGAGGGAGCCAATGGGAGGGAGGGGAGGGAGGGGCGGTGAGGGAGCCAATGGGAGTGGTGGGGGCGCCATAGTGCCATGAATGGGACGCACCAGGGGCATCAATGGGATGGTGGGAACGTAGCAAGGGAACCAATGGGGTGCTGGGGGGACAGCATGGGAACCAATAGGGTGCCGGGGGCGCCCTAGTACCATCAATGGGACGCACCAGGGGGACCAATGGGATGGGGGGGGTTAGCAAGGGCACCAATGGGGTGGTGGGGATGTAGCAAGGGAACCAATAGGGTGATGGGGGCACTCTATTGCCATGAATGGGATGCCAGGGGCACCAATGGGGTGGGAGGGGGGCAGCAAGGGCACCAATGGAGTGCTGGGGGCGCCCTAGTGCCATCAATGGGACGCACCAGGGGCACCAATGGGATGTTGGGGATGCAGCAAGGGCACCAATGGGGTGGGGGGGGGCAGCAAAGGCACCAATGGGACACCAGGGACACCAAGAGGATGCTGTAGGGGGGACACCAAGGGCACCAATGGGATGCTGAGGGGGACACCAGGGGCACCCCAATGGGGCGCTGGGGGTACCCCAGGATCTCCAGTGCCATACCAGGGGCACCCCAGTGTCTTGGGCCCTGTCCCCATGGGCATCCCAATGTCCCATCCCTGTCCCCATGTCCCTGTGCTGTGCACTGGCCCCATGGGTATCCCCATTTCCTTGTCCCTCTCCCCATGGGTGTCCCCATGATCCTGTCCCTATCCCAATGGCTGTTCCCAATGTCCCTGTCCCCATGGCTGGCCCCTTGTCCTGTCCCCATGGGTATCCCTATGGCCTTATCCCCATCCCCGTGGCTGACCCCATTTCCCTGTCCCCATCCCCATGGGTATCCCCATGTCCCCCTCCCCATGGCTGTCCCCATGTCCCCATCCCCATGGGTATCCCCCTGTCCCTTTCCCTATCCCCATGTCCCTGTCCCCATGGGTATCCCCATGTCCCCCTCCCCATGGCTGTCCCCCCCTCTCCCCACAGTGGTACAAGCTGGACGAGCTCTTCGAGCAGGAGCGCAACGTGCGGGCGGCCATGACGAACCGAGCGGGGCTGCTGGCGCTGATGCTGCACCAGACCATCCAGCACGACCCCCTCACCACCGACCTGCGCTCCGAGCGCTGACCCCCCCATTGACCCCATGGACACCCCCATGGACACCCCCATGGACACCCCCCCATGGACCCCCCCATGGACACCCCCAGGCTGCTGGCGCTGATGCTGCACCAGACCATCCAGCACGACCCCCTCACCACCGACCTGCGCTCCGAGCGCTGACCCCCCCATGGACCCCCCCATTGACCCCCCCATGGACACCCCCATGGACACCCCCATGGACCCCCCCATGGACACCCCCAGGCTGCTGGCGCTGATGCTGCACCAGACCATCCAGCACGACCCCCTCACCACCGACCTGCGCTCCGAGCGCTGACCCCCCCATGGACACCCCCATTGACCCCCCCATGGACACCCCCATGGACACCCCCATGGACCCCCCCAGACAGCCCCATGGACACCCCCATGGACCCCGACATGGAGGATGCTCCCCTATGGACCCTCTAATGGACTCGTCCATGGAACCCTCCATAGAAGATGCTCCCCTGTGGACCCTCCATGGACTCGTCCATGGACCCCCCCCCTAGGACCCACATGGACCCCTCCATGGCCACCCCCATAGACACCCCCATGGACCCCTCCATGGACACCTTCATGGACCCGTTCATGGACCCCTCCATAGAGGATGCTCCCCTATGGACACTCCATGGACCCCTCCATGGATCCCCCCATGGACTCCTCCATGGACCCCTCATGGACTCCTCCATAGAGGATGCTCCCCTATGGACCCTCCATGGATCCCCCCATGGACTCCTCCATGGACCCCTCATGGACTCCTCCATAGAGGATGCTCCCCTATGGACACTCCATGGACCCCTCCATGGATCCCCCCATGGACTCCTCCATGGACCCCTCATGGACTCCTCCATAGAGGATGCTCCCCTATGGACCCTCCATGGACTCGTCCATGGACCCCCCCCCAGGACCCCCATGGACTCTTCCCATGGACCCCTCTATGGAGGATCCCACCCCTCCCCCATTGATCCTACCCCCACCCTGCTGCCCCCCCAATAAAATGGGTTTCAAGGGAGGTGGATGTGGGGTGTCTGTGGGGCTGGGGGGGAGGGGCGGTTATAGGGTTGGGGGGCATCTATATGGCCCTGGGGCTATAGGGCCAGGGGGTTGATAGGGTGGAGGGTGGCAATAGAGCTTGGGGTGTCTATAGGGATTGGGGGATTTATAGGGCGGGAGGGGCACATGGAGCCCAGAGGTCTCCTATAGGGCCGGAGGAGGGCCCTATGGCATCAGAGGGGCTTTATGGGGTTGGGAGATCCCTATGGGGAGCAGGGGGGTGTCCTATAGGGCTGAAGAGGCTCTATAGGGCCAGGGGTGTCTGTATGGGGTCTGATTGGGGTACTTATGTGATCTATGGGTGGGATCTATGGGGCCTATGGGGTCTCTATAGGGCTTATGGGGTCTCTATAGAGTCTATGTGCTCCCTATGGAGTCTACGGGGGCTCTGGGACCCGGCGAAGCTCATTAGCATAACCCCGCCCCCCCTCCGGCGTCACGTGCCGCTCCCCCGCGCGCGCGGGCTCCCGCGGGAAGCTGGCTGCTGGTGGGTGGGCGGTGGCGCAGCGTCACGTGACCATCGCTCATTTGCATCAACCCCGCCCCCCCTCCCGTCAGCTGACGTTTCTTTCGGGGGGTCACGTGGCGCACCTCTTCCTCCTTCAGCCGCGCCAAAACCACGCCCCTTCCCCCCCTCCGCCGCGTCTCTCTTTCCTCATTGGCCAAAGCCGCATCACGTGGTGTACCCCCCCACGCTGTTTCCCGCGCGGGTTCTTCCGCTTCCGGCTCCCCGAGGCCACGCCCCTAGGCCCCGGCCACGCCCCTCGCTCGCTGCTCCCGCGCCGCTGCGCCACGATCGGGACCGACCATGAAGGAACCGGTACCGAGGGGGGCGAAAGGAGCGGGGGGGGTGGGAGGGGGAGGGGCCGGTTTTGGGGGGTGGTTGTGAGGGGGGAGGGGCAGTTTCGGGGCTGTTTTGGGGGGGGGAGGGTTCGGTTGGGGGGGTGTTTGTAGGGGGAGGGGTGGATTTGGGGTTCCTGAGGGGGGAGGGGCTTTTGCTGTGGTGTTTGGGGAGGGGAGGGGTTGGATTTGGGGGTTTTTTTGGAGGGGAGGGGTCAGGTTTGGTGGGGCAGGGGGGGTTGGGGGAGGGGAACCGGTTTTGGGGTGTTTGAAGGAGGGGAAGAGAGGGGTTTTGGGGGGGCGGGGGGGGTTAGAGTTCTTTTGGGGGAGGAAAAGGCGGTTTTGGGGTGTTTATAGGGGAGGGGCCTGTTCGGGGGGGGGGAAGGGGAGGATTTGGGGGTGTTTGGGGGGGGAGGGGCAGTTTCTGGGGAAACCGGAGGGGGGGGAGGGGCAGGTTTAGAGCAGGTTGGGGGGGGGGGCGGGAGTTGAGTGTGTGGAGGGGGGGGAGGGGCCGGTTCCGGAGGTCACGGGGCCGGGAGGGGGCGGGGCCTGGTTGTGTTTGGGGGCGGAGCCTGAGCGCGGCAGCGGCGCGGGGAGTGGTGCAGGGGAGGCTATGGGGGGGTTGGGGGGGGTTAGGGTTTTGGGGTGATTTAAGTGGATTTTGCGGTGGTTTAGGTCGGTTTTGGGGTGAATTAAGTGGATTTTGGGGTGCTTTAAGTGGATTTGGGGATGATCTAAGTGGATTTTGGGGTGACTTACGTGAGTTTTGGGGTGAATTAAGTGGATTTTGAGGGGTTTAGGTGTGTTTTGGGGTGAATTACATGGATTTTGGGGTGATTTATGTGGGTTTTGGAGTGCTTTTGGTGGATTTTGGGGTGATTTCGTTGGATTTTGGGTGCTGTAGGTGGATTTTGGGTGCTGTAGGTGGATTTTGGGGTGCTTTAGGTGGATTTTGGGATGATTTTGGTGGATTTTGGGGTGATTTCGTTGGATTTTGGGTGCTTTAGGTGGATTTTGGGGTTATTTCGGTGGGTTTTTGGGTGATTTTGTTGGGTTTTGGGGTGATTTTGGTGTATTTTGGGGTGCTTTAGGTGGGTTTTAGGGTGCTTTCAGTGGATTTTGGGGTGATTTCGCCGGATTTTGGGGTGATTTAGGTGTATTTTGGGGTGATTTCGGTGGATTTTGGGGTGCTTTAGGTGGGTTTTGGGTTGATTTCGCTGGATTTTGGGCTGATTTCGTTGGATTTTGGGCTGATTTTGGTGGATTTTGGGGTGATTTTGCTAGATTTTGGGGTGCTTTAGTTGGGTTTTGGGGTGATTTAAGTGGATTTGGGGGTGCTATAGGTGGGGTTTGGGGGTGATTTTGGGGTGATTTCGGTTGATTTTGGGGTGATTTTGCTGGATTTTGGGGTGATTTAGGTGTATTTTGGGGTTATTTCAGTGGATTTTGGGGTGCTTTCACTGGATTTAGGGGTGATTTCGGTGGGTTTTGGGGTGCTTTGGGGTCCCTGCTGACCCCCCCGTCCCGCAGTAGCCCCCCCCGGGCAGCATGGCGGAGGGCTGGGTCGAGTGCCCCGCGCTGGGGCCCGGCTGGAAGCGCCGGGAAGCGTTCCGGAAGTCGGGAGCCACCTGCGGCCGCACCGACACCTATTACCAGAGGTACCCATGGGGCGCCTGTGGGAACCCCCATGCCCTTAACCCCCCATAGGGGTGCTTATGGGACCCCCATATCTTTAACCCCCCATAGGAGTGCCTGTGTGAACCCTGTATCCTTAACCCCCCCATAGGGGTGCCTATGGGACCCCTGTATCCTTAACCCCTATATAGGGCACTTATGGGACCCCCATATCCTTAACCCCCCCATAGGGGTGCCTGTGGGACCCCCATATCCTTAACTCCCCCATAGGAGTGCCTATGGGACCCCCATATCCTTTATCTCCCCCCATAGGGGCACTTATGGGACCCCTGTATCCTTAATTCCCCCATAGGAGTGCCTGTGTGACCCCCATATTCTTAACCCCCCCATAGGGGTGCCTGTGGGACCCCCATATCCTTAACCCCCCATAGGGGCACTTATGGGGCCCTCATATCCTTTACCCCCCCATAGGAGTGCCTGTGTGACTCCCATATCCTTAACCCCCCCATAGGGGTGCCTATGGGACCCTCATATCCTTCACCCCCCCATAGGGAGCTTATGGATCCCCCATACCTTAACCCCCCCATAGGTGTGCCTATGGGACCCCCATATCCTTAACCCCCCCGTAGAGCACTTATGGGGCCCTCATATCCATTATCCCCTCTATAGGGGTGCCTGTGTGTACCCCATATCCTTAACCCCCCCATAGGGGTGCCTATGGGACCCTCATACCCTTAACCCCCCCATAGAGACACTTATGGGGTCCCCCACTTCCCCCCCCTCCAATCTACCTCTTTAAGCCCCCCCCTTTACACCCAGATCATTTCAAGCCCCCCCCATCTCCCCCTATTTTAGGGTACTGGGGACCACTTTAGGATGCTCTACTCTTAAATCCCCCCTGCCCATTTCCCTTCTCCTTCCATACATCCCCATGCTTCCCATTGGGTTTTGGGGTACCCCCCCCCCACAATGGAACCCCAAAGGGGGTGGGGGGGGTTTGGAGACACCCCCCCCATGATGTTGGGGTCCCCTCCAGCCCCACAGGGGAGAAGTTTCGGAGCAAGATCGAGCTGAGCCGGTTCCTTGGACCCGAGCGGGACCTGGGCAACTTTGACTTCAAGAATGGGCTGGAGCGTGCTGGCCCCCCAAAAGTGAGGGGGGTCCCCAATACATGGGGGGGTCCCCAATACATGGGGGGTACCCAAAAGTATGGGGTGGGGGGGAATGAGAGGAATGAAAAGGAACCAGTTGGGGGGGGCACTGTGGAATTAGGGGGTACCCTAAAAAGGGGGGGTCAAGGGGGTAAATGAAGAGGGGGGGGTCTGAATATGGGGGTGAAATAAGGGGGGGAACCCTTAAACTGGGGGGGAAGGCAGTACTTAAGGGGGGTACCCAAAACTATGGGGTGGGGGGGGATGAGAGGACCAAAAAGGAACCAATTGGGGGGGGTATTGTGGAATTAGGGGTACCCCAAAAAGGGGGGGTCAAGTGGGTAAAAGAAGAGGGGGGGGTCTCAATATGGGGATGAAATAATGGGGGGTCCTCAGTACTTAGGGGGCGCCCAAAGCTATGGGGGGGGGGAATAGGAGGACCAAAGAGGAACCAAGTGGGGGGGGGCACTATGGGTACCCCAAAAAGGGGGTCAAATAAGGGGGGGGTCCCCAAAATGGGGGGATGTCTCAAGGGGGTGATGAAATGAAATGGGGGGGTTAAGGGGGTAATGATGGGGGGGGTCCCCAAAGTAGGGCAATGGGGGTCTCTATGGGGGTGGAACAAGGAGGGGGGGTCCTCAAAATGAGGGGGGCTCAATGGGGAGGTTGAGGAGACCCTAAATTGGGGGGGAAGGGGTTGCCCCAAAAGGGGGAGCCTTTAAGGGTGGGGACTCCAAATGTGCCCCCCATAACCCCCCCCCCTTTTCCTCCAGGCCCGGAAGGGCCCCAAATGGAACCAACCCCAAGGGGCCACCCCGGAGCCCCCCCCCGCGCCCGAGGAGCCGGTGGGCGGGGCTGAAGCTGCGGAGGCCCCGCCCCCTTCGGTGGAAGCCCCACCCCCGGTGGAAGTGGCCACGCCCCCTCCTCCACCTCCTCCGGCCGAGGCTCCGCCCCCTCCGCTGCCGGACCCGCCCCTCCCGCGGCGCACCCGGAAGCGGCCCCCTCCGGAGGTCCCCCAGCAGGGGGCGGTCATGTGAGTGAGGGGGCGTGGCTTAGGGACTGGTCCATTGGGGGTTGCAATGGAGGGGGGGTTCAAGTGGTCATGGGGGGGGTCTTGAGGGGGCTGGGGGGGGTTCAGGGGGTCCTGGGGGATTTTGGGGGGTCCTGGGGGGGGGTGAGGGGTCCAGGGGTTGCCTGGAGGGGGTTGGGGGGGTCCTTGGGTGCTGTTGGGGGGGTCTCATCCTCCTGTCCCCCCCCCCCCAGGTCCTGCGCTGGCTGCCAGGGGCTGTTCCCAGGGGTGACGCCGCCGACTCAGCGCCGGTGCCGCTGGCTCTGCCCTGAGTGCCGGGGTGAGGTTCAGCATCAGCAGCATCTGAGCCTTCATCTCCATCATCCTCTGAGCCTTCATCCTCATCATCCTCTGAGCCTTCATCTCCATCATCAGCATCACCTTCTGAGCCTTTCTCCCCCATCATCCTCTGAGCCTTTCTCCATCATCATCATCACCTTCTGAGCCTTCATCCTTCATCATGCTCTGAGCCCATCTCCATCTCCATCATCATCATCACACTCTGAGCCTTCTTCCTCCATCATTCTCTGAGCCTTGCTCGATCTCCATCATCATCATCACCACCTGAGCCTTCCTCCCCTATCATTCTTAGTCTTTCTCCATCTCCATCATCACCTTCTGAGCCTTCCTCCTCCATCATCCTCTGAGCCTTCATCTCCATCATCAGCATCACCACCTGAGCCTTCCTTCTCCATCATCCCTTGAGCCTTCTTCCATCTCCATCATCATCATCACCACCTGAGCCTTCCTTCTCCATCATCCCTTGAGCCTTCTTCCATGTCCATCATCAGCATCACCTTCTGAGCCTTCCTCCTCCATCACCTTCTGTCTTCCTCCCCCATCATCCTCTGAGCCTTCCTCCATCTCCATCATCATCATCACCACCTGAGCCTTCCTCCTTCATCATTCTCTGAGCCTTTCTCCATCTCCATTATTAGCATCATGTTCTGAGCCTTCCTCCTCTATCATCCTTCCTCCATCTTCATCATCATCACCTTGTGAGCCTTCATCCTCCTCTCAGCCTTCCTCCATCCCCATCATCATCACCCTCTGAGCCTTCTCTCTCCATCATCTTCCTCAGAGCATTCGTCCTTCATCACCCTCTGAGCCTTCCTCCATCCCCATCATCACACTGAGCCTTCCTCCATCCCCATCATCACACTGAGCCTTCCTCCTCCATCATCACCCTCTGAGCCTTCCTCCATCTCCTCCATCATCGCCTTCTGAGCCTTCCTCCTCCATCATCACCCTGAGCCTTCCTCCTCCATCATCATCCTCTGAGCCTTTGTCCTTCATCACCCTCTGAGCCTTCCTCTTCCATCATCACCCTCTCAGCCTCCCTCCATCCCCATCACCCTTCTCTGAGCCTTCCTCTATCCCCATTCTCCTCTTCCTCTCCCCCCCCCCGCACTCCTTGGAGCCTTCCTCCCCCTTCCATCTCCCTCCTCCCATCATCACCATCATTGGGATGCTCTGAGCCTTCTTCCTCCTCTTCCCATCCCCTTTATGGGTACCCAAAGTGGGGGGGCTCAGGGGGGTACCACAATGCCCCCCCCCAACCCCCTCTCTCCCCCCCCAGCACGCAGACGGGACTTCAACCGGGAGCAGCGTTTCTTCAAGGTACCCCCATTCCTTTAATGGAGGATGGGGTGGGGTGGGGGGGATGTTGGGGTCCCCCCCCCCACCTTACCCCTGACCCCCCCCCGTTGCAGCGGGTTGGCTGCGGCTCCTGCCAGGCCTGTCGCATCCCCCAGGACTGCGGCATCTGCAGCGCCTGCGCCCGCCCCCCCCCGGCCCAGGGCCCCAAGTGCCTCCTGCGGCGCTGCCTGCGCATCGTCAAGAGGGTACCGACCCCCCCGACCCCCCCCGGAACCCCCCCATGACCCCCCCAGCACCTCCTGACCCCTCCCCCTCAGCACCTCATGACCCCCCAATGACCCCCCCCAGCACCTCCTGACCCCTCCCCAGCACCTCCTGACCCCTCCCCCAGCACCTCCTGACCCCCCCCAGCACCTCCTGACCCCTCCCCCCCAGCACCTCCTGACCCCCCCCAGCACCTCCTGACCCCTCCCCCTCAGCACCTCCTGACCCCCCCCCACATCCTGACCCCGTGCCCCCCCTCACTCCTGACCCCCCCCGCATCCCTGCCCCATGCCCCCCCTCACATCCTGACCCTCCCCCCAGCACCTCCTGACCCTCCCCCCAGCACCTCCTGACCCCCCCAGCACCTCCTGACCCCCCCCATGACCCCCTCATCCTGACCCCCCCATGCCCCCCCTATCACCTCCTGACCCCTCCCCCCCAGCACCTCCTGACCCCCCCTGGGACCTCACCAGCACCTTGTTGTTACCCCATGTTATCCCATGTTGTTATCCCATGTTATCCCATGTTATCCTATGTTATCCCATGTTATCATGCCATGTTATCCCATGTTGTTATCCCATGTTATCCCATGTTATCTCACATTACCCCATGTTATCCCATGATGTTATCCCATGATGTTATCCCATGTTACCCCATGTTGTTATCCCATGTTACCTCATGTTGTTACCCCATATTACCCCATGTTATCCCATGTTGTTCCCCCATGTTACCCCATGTTACCCCATGTTATCCCATGATGTTACTCCATGTTACCCCATGTTCCCCCATGTTATCCCATGTTATCCCATGTTACCCCATGTTATCCCATGATGTTACCCCATTCTATCCCATGCTGTTCCCCCATGTTACCCCACGCTATCCCATGTTCCCCCACATTAACCCACGCTATCCCATGTTATCCCATGTTCTTACCCCATGTTCTCCCATGATGTTCCCCCATGTTCCCCCATGTTATCCCATGTTATCCCATGTTATCCCATGATGCTATCCCATGTTATCCCATGTTATCCCATGTTATCCCATGTTCTCCCATGTTATCCCATGTTCTCCCATGTTATCCCATGTTATCCCATGTAATCCCATGTTCTCCCATGCTATCCCATGTTATCCCATGTTCTTACCCCATGTTATCCCATGATGTTACTCCATGTTATCCCATGTTCCCCCATGTTATCCCATGTTATCCCATGTTCTCCCATGTTCTCCCATGTTATCCCATGTTCTCCCATGATGTTCCCCCATGTTCCCCCATGTTATCCCATGTTATCCCATGATGCTATCTCATGTTCTCCCCTGTTGTCCCCCACATCCGCTTCCCGCCGTGGCCCTGCAGGGGCTGGGCTGCGGCTCCTGCCCCGGCTGCGTGGCCACCGAGGACTGCGGCTCCTGCTGCATCTGCCTGCGCCGCCTCCAGCCCGGCCTCAAGCGCCAGTGGCGCTGCCTGCGCCGACGCTGCCAGCGGCCCAAGGTGGGGCGCCCGCACGCACCTCCCACAGCACCCATAGGCACCCCTAGAGCACCCATAGACCCCTATAGCACCCCTATAGCTCCCTATAGCACCCATAGACCCCTATAGCACCCATAGACCCCATAGACCCCTATAGCACCCATAGCACCCATAGACCCCTATAGCCTCCTATAGCACCCATAGACCCCTATAGCACCCATAGCACCCCTATAGCACCCCTATAGCACCCATAGACCCCTATAGCACCCATAGACCCCTATAGCACCCATAGACCACTATAACCTCCTATAGCACCCATATAGCTCCCTATAGCACCCATAGACCCCTATAGCACCCTATAGCACCCCTATAGCACCCATAGACCCCTATAGCACCCATAGACCCCATAGACCCCTATAGCACCCATAGACCCCTATAGCCCCCTATAGCACCCATAGACCCCTATAGCACCCATAGCACCCATAGACCACTATAGCACCCATAGCACCCCTATAGCACCCCTATAGCACCCATAGACCGCTATAGCCTCCTATAGCACCCATAGCACCCCTATAGCACCCATAGCACCCCTATAGCCTCCTATAGCACCCATAGCACTCCTATAGCACCCATAGACCCCTGTAGCACCCATAGCACCCCTAGACCGCTATAGCACCCATAGACCACTATAGTGTCCCATAGCACCCATAGACTCCTATAGCACCCATAGACCCCTATAGCACCCATAGACCACTATAGCACCCATAGACCCCTATAGCACCCATAGACCCCTATAGCGCCCATAGACCCCTATGGCACCCATAGCACCCCTATAGCACCCATAGACCCCTATAGCACCCATAGCACTCCTATAGCACCCATAGACGCCTATAGCACTCATAGACCCCTATAGCACGCATAGACCCCTATAGCGTCTTATAGCACTCATAGTTTTCTATAGCATTCTGTAGCACCCCTACCTATAGCACCCATGGACCACTGTAGCATCCCATAGACCCCCTATAGCATTCTGTAACCCCCCATAGCACCTCATAACCCCCTGTGAGCCCTGCACCAGCGCTGCCAGCAGCCCA